CGTCCATTTGTGTGTCTCTTTGAAACATCTAGCTGCTCGTTTGAGTAGATCAAATATCGCCTTGCTCTTATCATAATAACCAGATAACGAATCATCATTTATTAATTTATCAAAAACAGCGACAGCCAAGGAGGTGGCATGTAATGCACCAGCTATTCTGGTAAATTGCACTTGTGCTTTACCTAAAATTGATCCTAAGCCTTGATCGATTCCATATGCTTCTCGAATTTGAAGAGTATACTCATCAAAAACGTTGTTAATGACCTGTTAAAACAAAATAGAATGAGCAACTCAAACTATAGAAAAAAAATGTTGTCTGAACACAATGTCATATATGATAAAACATCATTTATTTTTTAATACTATTTAAAGCTTTAAGATAGTTGTTTAACAGCTCACTTATTATCTCATTCTTTTTCTGGTGCTTGGAAAGTCAACTTCATGGCTAAACTAAAATAGCTGCTATCAATAAAAGCTAGTATACCTTTTGTGCATCTTTGGAATATGAATATATTATTCGTTGGTCTTCATCATCATTACGTCGTCCATCATTTTACTCGGTTGAATTAATACAATATATAATATATAGTAGATGAGTAAGGCTCGGCTCATCGATATTGAGTGATCTGATTTCATCAGATAAAGGTATACATGGTTGAGGAGCAGAAAAGAGAAAACGAGCCATCAGACCATCATCATCTGGATGTGCAACTGCAGCAATATTGAGTACAGGATTCTCTACCGTAATATTTCCTGATTTAGTTTGTCGTTTAACAATGGCAAATAAGTTGTACAACGTGTACATGATTGATCGATCATATGCAGCACCACTTTGTTTATAAAGACCAAATGACTGTAGGAGAGTAACTGCCTCATTCCAACTTTGAATAAGTGTAGGCCATGTATTCTTTAATTCAGTCAAGAGTGATTCAACCGTAGCACTACAATTGATTCGACTCTCCTCAATTTTTAAACATAGATGTTTTCCAATAGCAAGACATGCATTCAAAACAGCTTCTGTTGCACTGGATTTATTTACGCTTGGATATCCAATGATTGTTGTAAAAAACGAAATGTTCGTTGGTGTTCCGGTATTAGTTCGAGTTTGACTACCATTAACGAAACGACCGATAACAGGAAGCAACATCGTAATAAGATATTCACGTGGCATTTGACTGCTGGAACAAATGTTGTCTATCAGGACACAAATGTTTTCATCAAAAATTTCGGTTACATCCATCGAATACATGGCAGCCTTTTGCATAATAGTTCGTATCGTATGAGCAGATTTTCTTTTGAAGACATAACGAATCAATTATAGTAGATGATAAAGCGTGCTAAAAAAAACAAGACAATGTAAATATGAACTGTAGATAGAAGTGATTGTAGTCGTGACAAGAAATAGCCTTATTTTTTATGTGAGATGACCTCGGTATATGTTTTCTTTCGCATTGATCCTTGAAGAAAAGAACTATCTACTGTAGTATTGAGAAGAGCAATTAGTGCCGTCATTTTAGTAAAAAGATCTCTGTTTCTTTTCAATATTTTTATCATCAGTATCATAACGCTTTTGTTAAATATTGGCATATATGACAACAAAATCTTCTGAACAATCATAATACTCATCTTCACTAATGCTTTCATTACTAGAGAGACAAAAAGAAACAGTAATATATCTCATTGAAACATTTTTACTACGTTTACTCAACTCAAATACTCACATCTAAAGCACATATTACTACAACTTTTACTACAAAATCAAGAAAACTTATATCTTTAACGCGTTACTATACTATTTCATTCAGCTTGAATATTTATGCATTGTCTATAGATTATTTCAATTTCAATCGTAGAGATAAAAAAAACGACATACAAATTTTTCAATCGTTTTTGTCATATTTTACTTAACTCGAATACTCATACTTATCTATACATCATTACAATTTATATTGTACTTATACATAGTCTCTCAACATATGATAAATGTTCTTCTTTATATATTGCTACTTATTTAAAATATATTTCAATCAATACTTATTGTACAATATATAGATACAAATTGGAATTTAATTTTCCAAGTAATATAAGACATTCTATATTAGATTTTTTTCTTTCTCTTTATCAAGATAAGATTATTTCTCGTAGCACTTCTTCAAACAAATATATGAACTTTTCCATCTTCTCTTGTCATTTTTGTGTCATTGAACAATTTTTTTCTTTTTCTGTTTCTTAGTATTTCAAACGATTGATGTTTCTCATAGTCGTTTCCACTATCTCACCTTGATCATCTGATTTGTGAACAAACATCAATCTGTGTTCGTCAAACAAACGAAATAATTAAAAAAGCATTGAGCTCATCGTAGTTTTTCAAATAATATTCCTTGTCTCACCTTCATATAAGAGATTGAAAAAATAAGAGTAAAAAGGTTCATCATTTTATATATGGCTTGTCCATTGAATAATGATTTAAAAAATCTTTTATATCCACTTACCTCAATGGAAATAGCAAGTATCCTTCAATAACTTAATCTTAGAATAAATAAGTTTGTTCCCCATCGTATTCATCATGTCACATGTATATTAAATCGAATTTTTAAAACGAAATTTTCACCTGCACAAATACGAATTGGTCTTGAAAATTGAGAACTAATTTTACCAATGTATAAAGATAAAATAGGAGGCAAATCTTCTGAAAAAATCGAAAACGAAATAAATAGTTATTGCTCTACTTAATATGAAAATTGTTCATCATCTCTTCTGAATTGTTTTATACCTTTACTGACTCAATGTATAAATCCCAATTGCTCCAAAAACAATCTGAGTAATCCAATTCCTCATCATGACGTTGCTATTTTTTGTTCAGGTCAAAGATTAAAAAAGGAACGACTTTTTTTAAAGAGATGCTCTAAATATAATTATAAATATTTTTACAACTATTACATTGGATCCAATGCGCAGAACATGCTAACTATACATATTGATGATGAAGTTTTTGTTGTTTTTTTCCAATTATGGATATGAAAAACGTTTGATCATACAAATTGATGGCGACATTTTGTTCAAACATTGTGGTTTTTCTAATTTAGTTAATGCTTTTAATTATTTGAATTCTAAGTTTGAAAAAAAGGAGGGAGAGATGATGAACCGTTTCCATCTTCAGAAAACATGGTTTGTTTGGCAGTCTGGTCATTTTTGCGAACAAGAAAGTTTTCGAATGCCTGTCCTCGATCAACAAGATTTTTATACGATGCTTCTCGACTTATTACCATTTCTTAAACAGCTGTTCACTTGGAAATGAGGTAAAAGAGATCATCATGTGTTTTGTACAGGGTCATGTAGTGGTACGATTGTCCTAGGTGGACATCAAAAAGCGACAAGAAGAGTTTGCTCGATCAAAAATATATTCGTTCCTAGTGTTGACGGAGCCATTCGTAATGTTAAGGTGGGATGTTTAACTACACCAGTGCTTAAAAATAAAAAATGTCGGGAACATTTACTAACAAACGAAAGTGAAAATAATACAACACAACATATAAACGCACGCCTCCTACGAAAGCATCATCTCAGAAAAAAAAAGAAGAGTACATGACGACTTAGATTCAGTCTTCGATGTAAAACATTGAAATCATTACAATATAAGGGTGTTTTACATCGTACATCCGGTATAATTGCAGCTGTTTATAATTGCGGCTTTATTTGTAGTCTTTATGAATTGTTTGGAAGCGAATCTATAGCTCAAGTCTATAACTTTCTTTTATATATGTACTAAAATCTAGAAAATTTTCCTGATGTCTTAATTTATGATGATGCCTGTCATTTGAAGTTGTTCATAGAGAATTCGAATAACTTTGTTCCTAGCACTCCTGCGAAAGAAAAATTAGAAAAAGCAAAATTTTTTTATGATAAACTACATTATCGAAATTATGTTGATCCTTGGTGTCGCCGTAATGTCAATCCTTATAAGGATCCAGCCGCAAATCATACAAATACTGAGATTTGTGAACAGATTTTGCCTAGCTCGCCCAATATAAAAATATTGTTAAAGGCTTTAATGAATCGACCTTTTTGATCTATATTTGTCTCATTTGTGACTTGTATAACAGTAATAAATATGACAACTTACAGAAAGAATATCTTGCATCTCGTTCACCGCAAGTAGCAATTCTTAGCTTATTTAACAAGTGATATATATCACTTTCTGTTTTTTTTCTTGTTTCACTCGTTTGATAAAATCATTCCATCTACTCACTCAATTTTTTATTACTTGAGTGCCCATGTTATGTTTCTATTGATGCTGTGCTACACTGCTTATGTTTCATTTACGTAGTTAATCATTAGCTCATTTCAATCATTACATATAAACGGTTATATATTGTGTTGTGTTCTAATTTTCATATTCGTCAACTTATGATTCATTATCTTAAATTTTTTATCTCAAATATAACCCCTGTTGCAAAAGTCTTTAGACAAAATATTTATTCATTTTTCAGTTGCCTAAACGTCATAAGTGAGAATCAAAAGTAGTTAGCTAAAATCTATTTTTTGTGTTATTTCCGAATATCTGATTTGAATATTTCTTTGACTTAACATTGATTAGAAATGGGCCAAATTTTTGACAGAGTCAAAAATGATGCTTGTACAAAAGTCTTTCTACAAATATTTGTTCATCTTTCAGTCGCTAAAAGTATTTGGTACAAACCAAAACTTATCTGCTCTTCTCTAATATGTGTTCAGAATATCTCTTTGGCTTAAGATTGGTTAGCTGTAAGTTAATACTGAAAAGAGGCGAAAAAATGGCATCTCGACGAAGAAAACATGTTTTCCCGCTATTCATCATATGTGTGGGTTGGATTTTGAAGCAGTTCTAAATTGGTAATTTGTAGAGCATTCAATTCTCTACAAAACCATACATTTACAATAGGCTTCACCTCAAATGAATAAAAGGCTATAGACGTTTATCTGAGAACTGATTTATATGTAAAAATAAAATCCTGTCAAAAAGTCAGTTCTTCGAAATCTTCTATTTATAATACAACAAATTTCATGTCTTTGCTTCGAGATAGAAAACCATAGTAAATAGCATAGTTTGTTGAGTAAACTTCGGTCTATAAAATTGGCTGATGCAAAGATCTTTCATGTTTTACGTGGAGTAGGTATTCATCAAAACACAAAAATACATCCAATAAAATTCTGCATAAACATCATTTTCGACTTTGTCAAACATTTGGCTCATCCCTAATCAATGCTAAGACAGAGAAATATTCTGATTAGATATTCGAAAAGAGCACAAAAATCTGATTTTAGCTAACTATTTTTGATTGTCACTAATGACGTTTAGACAACAGAAAAATGAATAAACATTTTGTCTGAAGACTTTTGCAACAGGGGTTAAATAACCTTTTTAACAACTCAAATCACCTTTTTTTATTTGCAATTGTAATAGTTTTGTTTTTGTGTACTCAAAAAGTGCGTACACTCTAGAATCGGTCAGTGTGTCCGTCCGGCCGGTCGTTTACACGATAACTTTCGAAAGGAGAGTCCGATCACGATGAAATTTTCTACACAGTTTAGTCTCAACAATATCTCGGTCGATTTTGAAGATGAGAATGATTGGCCGAGCCATTGCTGAATTATTGCAAAAATAGTCATTTTTCCCTATGCTTTCCTATGCGCAAATCGACACCTCCCCGCTTTCGTAAACAACTTTTCCTATCATAGACAAATAAAACTCCAACTATTATACACCATTCGATAGAGAATTTCACGAGCTACAAAATGGTGTATAAAATATAAAGAAACAAGAAGACTAACTCATCTATTGCAAAGATTATTAAACAGAAATTGGTTCTGTTTGTGTCCACGCTCTAATTGATCCATAAATAGAGCTCTATCTTCCTATTACAGAGATGGTATCTCGAGGTTTTCTGAGGCGAAGAACTCGAATCTGTAATCCATTTGCTTCGAAATCGCATTGGTTTAGCAATGACCAATAGAAATCAAGTTATAGGAAAAACGACTTTCTGAGGGTAAATCAGGGCGAAGAGTTCAAATCTGATCTATATTCGTTCCCAAATCTTATTGGTTGAGCAGTAGCCAATAGGATTGAAGTGTTTATAGAAAAGGTTTGCCAGGATAATTTTGATGTCCACACATTCTAGGATGGCTCATCTG